TTACCTTGATTCAGTCATTTCGGCCATTCTTAATTATTAAGTCCCTTCTTAATAGTCGTATGCTTAAAACTATTTTATTTCTTGCTCATCTTAAACACGAGCTTTTGGAATTGTTTGGGTATTACAAGGTACTTTTCCCCCTGAAAGAAATGGCCTGTTTTGTTTTTTTCTCCTTTGCCCGCTAGTTTGCCCGCTAGTAGGGGTACAGACAAAAGGTCACGGAGCGTATTTTTATTTGGGCCCTTATAAATACCATTTAGGAATGCTTTCATTCTTGCCAGTACCCTCATCACACTACTATTCACGTAGTTTCCAGTGCTGAAGTTCTTACGTTTAGCCCCCGGAAGAAAAGGGAAGGATTGTAAGTAGAGGAAGTCAGTACAGCCTACAAAAGGTTCTTATGATTGACTTTAATTTTCCACACGGTCTCAAATTGTTGGTTTAACTTTGTTCCCATTCAGTAAAGTTCCTACATTTAATTTTTAAGTTCTCTTTTGAAACCAGACTTTTGTTTGCAAGCACAAACATACATACACCTCCTTAGCTCCAACGGAATCAAGCAACCCTAATTCTAGTCTCAGTCCCATTATATATTGCTTCTCAGTGCATCTTTCTACTTGCTTGTATTTGTGATGCCACAGGGATCAAGTTGGAACAAACTATACGGCCTATAAAATCACACATTCTGATAGAGCTTCTATCTGATGAAGCCCATGTGTCCTCATACACTAGAGCTCCTCTTCAAAATCCCTTAGATAAGTCAGTTGGAATTTGTCAAATCAGAAATGAAGGGATTTTGTTTTTAAGTGGGCCCCACACGGAGCCTGAACTCACAACCATGAGATCAAGACCTGAGCTAGGATCAGGAGTCAGACACTTAACCACCTGAGCCACCCAGGTGCTCCACAGAAGAGATTTTTGAACTTCTTTATATTTTAACATCTACCTGATAAGATTCAGTAAAAGAATTTAGTTTGCTGAATCAGTACCTTTATTGCAGAGTTCATACAGATGAGAAATACAAATGTGTATTTGTATATAGGTTTAAGTTTTTCTTCATTTTATAGGTGTTCAGCAGATGAATCCCCCTAAGGAACTTCTTACTGGCTTCTATTTCATACGGACCCAGAGAAACCCACCAAAGCTACTTCAAGGTTAACAGTGCTTAACTCATGAGCTCCATGTGCCTTTTGGATCTTTGCAACATTGAAGATTTGGAAGAAGCTCTTCAACTATTTTGTGATGGTGTTTATCATTTTATATTTTAAAGAGATTATTTTGTAAGGAATAACTTTTAATACTATAGTTTCACCTGTATTCTACTTAATGTTGAGATACAGTTTTGCTTTTAGGTATCATTATTACTTAAGTTACTGGGATGAATACCTTTCATGTTTTGATCTTTAGTTAACTGTACACTCATGAAACGTACAGGTCTTTCAAAGTCATCCTAAATACCGAATGTTTGCAAGTCATAAGCATCAAAACTCTTAAAAAAAACACAAGCATATTTTAAAAAGGACTATTGGTGGGGAGGTAGAAACAAGTCATATTTTCTTAAAACTGAAGTTTTTAATAAGCTCTTGGAAATGAAACCTGAAAAGTATTGACTCCCTCTACCAACTTGGGTTGATTTTCCAGGCAGCTCAGTGATGATCGCATTTGAGAGCCCTGTGTTTGAAGCATGTCTAGGCAACATGTAGCAGCGGAGGTACCTCTTGGTGTGTAGTATTGACCTTCTCTTGCAGAAGAGGCAGTTAACCCTTATTTAACATGGTTGGAAATTTCAAGCAATACTAATTAACCAAGGATGGGTTTTTGGCAATCCTGGAGGAATTTGTCAGGCTTCATTTTTCAAGTCTTTAACTCATATCACATACTATATGCTTGGATTTGGGGAGCTTAAGTAAGAGCTGTTATTCATGTGATTAAGTACCTGATCAACAGGTATGAATATACCTTAGACACCAGCATATTTTCGTCATGGTAGTGAAGTGTCCTAATAACTATTTATACATTTTTGTTCTTCGTAATTATCCAGTACAAAAAGCATCATTTGTTCATTTTTGAAAGGGTATTTAAATAAGCATTTTCTAGTTCATATGAAAATAACCATAGTACAGGATGACCTATGTCCATAGAGAAGTTGTTAGACTGTACAATTAATTTTCAGTTATATTTATGGTACTGTTACATGGGTAATACCTTTTTTCTTTAAAGCCCAGTATATATATTACGCCTGCCTAAGTTCCAAACTGGGGCTATATTTCAGTAGTTGTAGAATTATTGATATTAATTAGTTTTGGTAGTTAACGTTTTGTTGTTTGGATCTGCACAGTTTGGTTTTTGCACCGAAGTCATTTCTAAAAATCTGAATAATTGCCAAATATTAGAAGAAAAGTGTTCTTCAAGTAGAGAATACCGTTTTTACTCAAAGTGGCCATTACCTCTTCTCTTTCTGTAATAATTCAGACACTTGAGTAAGTCATGGTCATGTCATATGCCAAGAAATTTCTTTTCATTGGTGCCGATACTGTAACAATTACTTTAATGCATTGTATTTTGAAGTAATGGTTCAGTTGAAATTTTCACCTTCTATGTGACTGAAGCGCAGTTTCAGTTTGTAATCTATTAGAGGTCTAGAAATAATTTTGCAACTCATATCATGGGTTAAATGAATATTTTTGTAAAAACAAAAGCAGTGAATTTATAAATGGATTATTTGAAACTTTACAACACAGCTGCATCATGGATAGGAATCATATTGCTTATTCATTAGAGTTGTTAGTCCTATAAACTGTGTCTAGGTGAAGCATACTCCAGTGTTGTGGGGGATTTTAAAATAAATATTTAAATTTCATGGTCCTTAGCGTCTGTTTTCTCAAGGTGGGGATATGAGGCGGAATTTTTATTGTTTGAAATTTTGTCTCCTCTGCCTTTTAATTTGTTGTTGGAACTTGAACACCAACATCTCCATTGAAAACTAGAAGGTATTCTTCTCACTGAAGCACTGATGGTAGTTACAGTGCGTATCTGTCCCCCTGTCCTGGCACAATTATTGGTAGAGTCGTCTTTCGCTCAGAAATGCCCTAGGTTGGACAATACATTGTGTGGTCACCCCAACTATAGTTTTACTAGGAAGTCATACACAGATTTGAACCCTATAGTTCTCTGGGGAAAAGAAATTTCACAAAGACTTCCAGAAATTGAGAGCTTCTAGGGAAAAAGTCAAGGATGAACTTAACTGTAGCTCTGAGAATCAATAGGATTGGGGCGCCTGGGCAACTCAGTCGTTAAGCATCTGCATTCGGCTCAGGTCATGGTCCCAGGGTCCTGGGATCAAGCCCCACATTGGGCTCCCTGCTTGGGCGGGAAGCCTGCTCCTCCCTCTCCTACTCCCCCTGCTTGTGTTCCCTTTCTTGCTGTGTCTCTCTTTGTCAAATAAATAAAATCTTTCTTAAAAAAAGAATCTATAGGATTAACATATAGGTGACTAGGCTTCAATATATTCTTATGTTTAAATCACTTTTTTATATTCATGTTACTGGGTAGGAGCAGGGAAGAAAGTGCTAGAGTGTGGGAAAGGGTTAGAGAAAGGTGTATTAAAAGGAATTTTTCTGATACAAGGACTAGGAAAGTAATACCATGATGCAAGCTATATATACATTTATATATTGCTACATATAATATATATTTATATTTCTAAATATTTATTTATATATTACATAAATGTATATTGAGCTTGCATTTTGGCACCTGGGTGGCTCAGTTGGTTAAGTGTCTGCCTTCAGCTCAAGTCATGATCCCAGAATGCTGGGATCAAGCCCCACATCACTGGGCTCCCGGCTCAATGGGGCATCTGCTTTTCCCTCTCCCTCTGCCCTCCCCCCTCCACTCCTGCTCCCTCACTCATTCTCTCCCTCTCAAATAAATAAATAAAATGTTCTAAAAAATAGCTTGCTTATATAATTGCATCGTTTCTTTGAAGTTAGTACCTACCATTATCTTGTAAATATGTTGTACTTAACATTAAAATCAATGAACAAAAGTGCTCAAATGGAATATTGGACCTTCCAGGGGGAATAGTAGGGAAATTTTGAATGGGTCAAGAATAGAATCTTTGTTCATGAACTCAGTCTGGTTTTAGCACTATCCTTTTCCTCATCAACTACCCCAATTCTACAACTTCGCCTTCCCCAACTCTACATTTTCACCTGTCTCCTTCCTTTTTCTTGTTCTCTAACTGTCCCTTCCCTTGATAAGACCAGAACCAGTCATTTCTGAAATTGACTAAAACAAAATGAAGATCATACTTGCAATTTATTTTTTTAGTAAATGGATTTCCATCACTCTTTATTAAAATGCCATTCATCTCATTTCCTTGCCTACATACATGCAGCAAGAGATAACAAAACAAAGTCTTACAGGAGAAAGTAGAGAAACCAACATATAAACTTCTATCTGTCACGACATATAATAGTTAAGAGTAGAGAAGTAGTAAGTCAAACGTCATAATATCTTCATTGGGCATCTATCTGGCTTTAGAAATTAACCAATTCATGAATTTCCAGGGTTTAGAATGCTTCCAAGTCCTAGATGCATCTAATGGGAGGTTCTATGCCACCATCTTGTTCTTGAGGTATAGGATGGCCATGTTCCCCCTTACATATGTTACAAAAATGGAAGTCTTTAACATACAACAGGACCATTTTTATGGGAACCTTTAGTCACAGTATGGCTTAAAAACAAAATGACCAAAACAGTCACAATCTACCAAATCACTAAAGGACATCAGAGGCCAGTGCTATGCCAACCCATACTGTCAACATCCTACAGTGTTGACAGTCACCGATGTCTCTGTGGGGAAATGTATATTGCAGATGAAAAGTAGCCACCTCGCCCCACCACAGTGCTGGTGAGGAGAGGGTGTGTTCTGGAGCCCCTTCAGAGGAAACTGAAGAGGGAAGCTTGAGGAACGAGGCAGCATCTGGGTCTTTCCTGAGCTAGGTGCCCAAACATAGCCAATCCCCTCATTACCAATGAAGGGTAACTAAGAAAATGGTTTGTGCAGAAGGTTCCTTATTTTTTACCTAAGTTGGCAACGTGGAACTGGCCCAGAAACGTTCACTGAGTTCACACTTTCAAGCTAAAAAGTAATTACATGGTTTTAACAAAGTCCTGTCTTCAGCAGTTGGCATATTGAAAGAAACACCTTCATTCTCTTCATCAAGCTGTAGACTACCAGAAGACAAGCGGATTCTGGCCATGGGCGACCTGATTCCTTTGCCATACAAAGAGTAGTAGTCTGGCTTAAGAATTTCTGATTCTGAATCACTGGATTCACTAGCTACGTACCTTTCTGCTGCTCCCTGATCCATTAAAACTGTTGGAAACTCCTGCTCTGCAAACATATATGTAAAAAGGTCAGCTTTTCGACTCAGAGTAGGACAAGGCCCTAAAGGTCTAAATTCGGACCCAAAAGGAAAACGGATCGTTTTCATGTCTGACTGGCTCTGGGATCGCTTGGGGTTTTGGTCTTGAATGCTGTATGCAAACGCATCTTCTAAATTTGGGTCTTCGGCTTCCAGATCTACGTTGATGTTGCTCCTCCCACTAGTCCTCGCCATAGCTTCTTGGAGTTCTTGAAAGTCTTGCTGAAAGCTCTTCATTCTGACATTCCTTGGGCTTCTTTTGGCTGGCTTCATTGCAGTGGGCTCTAGACAGCTGTCTGGTCTTTCTCTTTCCTCTGCCATGACTGGAGACTGTTTGGGCACCTGGGGTGGTCTGTCCACATAAAAAAAGACTTGGGGAGGCATAATATCAACCTTCTGACCAGTACAAGGAATATAGGGCACATCTGTGTAAGTTAGCTGCCTTGCTGGACTCACTTTGCTTGCAAGGCCAGAAGATGTGCTCATGTGCTTGTCAGCAAACTTACAGCTTGGTTGGAAGGAGCTCAGAGGACTCCTTTCCTCAAAGTAGTCTCTGGGATCCGGGTCAGTACTAAAGACAGGGTCTGTATAAATAAAAGGGAAAGAGGAACTGCTTTGGGACTGGTGTAACAGTGTGGGATCCGCCTCTGGTTTGGAACGCTCCAGCTCTGCTGCAAACGTCACCTCCACTGCGGAGTTCCTCCTCCTACCGTCGAGCACAGGCTCCGACGCGTGCCCTCCATTCACATTTCTGTAATACCCACCGCCGTACACTAGTCTCAGATCTTCCACCTTGAGAGAAAGGACACGTTGGTGAAAGAAGAGAAAAGCCATTTGCTTGGGGGTGGGGCAGGGATCTAAACTTGCCTTGAATTTCACGAAGGTATTTTCACAAGGTCATCTCAACTCCATGTTCTAGTCCAAGTTGGTGAAGGTATACAGAAAGGGAAATACCTTGTACCATATCCCAATCCTTGTGCTAAAGAATACCCACGACAGTCTCCTTTCTCACTGCCATCCCACTCCTTGCCTCTTGAGTTCTCCATGTACTTCCGCTGGCATGGTACTTCAGGCAGAATGGTTTAGTAGCTCATTTATAAAAGAGCCAGGGGTTCTGCTTTCGAGTTCTGGCTCTGCCTTGGGACTTCAGGTAGATCTCCTGATCTCCCTGCTCTAGCATCCTCCCTATTCTCTGTAAAATGGTGGGAAGGAGGGCTACAAATGGCACCAGAGGGTCACATAGTTAGATGGCATTATACCTCCGTGAGGCCTTTGAGATAAAAACTGCCTATGATTTGAATGAAGACATGAGAGGTTGTGAGACCTATAATTTTTTCTTTTTAGGGAGAGCAAAAGAAAAATAATTAACATGGTTAATGCTTATAAAACTCAAATGAAGCCATCATCTCACGGTTCCAGGAGAATAGCACTTTGTACTTAAATTAAGTGACAAAATTACACGACAAGAGTACTTTAAAACGTTAACCCAAGACCTTAAAGCTTCCTCTAAGCCTTAAAATTTTTCATTAGGTAAAAAAAAAAAAAAGAGCTTTTAGTTTAAAAAATTCAAAGCCATAGAAATTCACTTGGATCCGCATTTTACATGACATTAGCAATATAAGTTGCAATTTAGAGATGTGCCAGATCCTTTCAGTCCATAAGGTGCACACCAGTGGTAATTTATTAAATGGTCTTCTATTGGCTGGAAAGATTGAGCTAACAGACCTCCTGAGGAGGCTAGCCTACTCAGAGTCACCTTTTCACACACCAGGAGGTTCCTGGCAGAATCAATTCTTAAAAGCATTTGACATGTAGATGCAGTACATTTATCTAAAGAAGAAGGGATTCTCAGAAACCTTACTTGTTTTGACACATCAGAGAGGAGGTCTGGTGAGGACCGGCACTGTCGCTCATGGTACTGAGATGGGTAATGTTTCCTGTAATCCAGAAAAGGAAGGAATTGAAATGGTCTACAGGCACATAGAGAATACATAGAAATCTCTACATTCGGCTTCAAATCAACATGAGGGAGAGAGAAAATCCCGTACCTCTCAAATGGCAAGCTCGTCAACCTCCCTTTCTTTCCATATTCCAAAAGCTGCCGTTGGGTCCTTCCACTGTGATTAAGAATGAGATAGATATTTTATTAACACCACTCATAAGCCAGTAGACTACTAAAACTCCAAAGCTTCAATTACTATTGAAGTCAAGCGTCCCCATGAATGACATATGCCATGAATGGCTGACCATCACAGTAATGATAACTACCCGCTTTTTCAACTATCAGGCCTAGAGCAACCTCAACTACTCAGAACCCAGAAGATTATTAAAAGCTTAGGAACAGGACTATATCACAGTTAAAAATTCTGGCCTTGAAAACAAACCGACTTTCCTATAAAGGCCTTTTCCCTACCTGCAAATTTACATACAATTTCTAATAAAGCTATTTAGCTGCTTTTCCAATTCCTGACAGAAGAAAAACAGCTAACTAAATAGTAAAAGACGTTTGCTCCAGCCAGACATACACCAGCAAAGAAAGCCAGCTGACAGCTGGGAGAAACACAAGAGCCAAAAAAAAATCAGGAAAAATAATAAAATAATAATAAAAATATTATTAAAAATAATAAAACCCAACAAGTCTGAGCCATTTATCACTGAGGTACAGGGACTGACATGCCTCCCCCGCCCTGACCCGGGGGCCATCACTGGACCACAGCTGCCTGCAGAGGATCATAAGTGACGTTTATAATAAATCTGGTCGTTAAGAAAAGGGCAAAATATGCCCAGTACCATCTGTTTAAGAAGGTGGGGATTTGTAAAACACATCTTGGAAAGATTCTATCAAAAAATACCTATGTTTTTGAGATCTCAATTCCATTGTTTGAAAATCCCATTCCTTTGAATGGGAAACATTCAATTAGGAGGGTTTTCTTTCGTTTCGTTTTGTTTTGTTTTGTTTTGTTTTAAATCTTAGCTAAGAGTTTTGAAGGCTTCTTCCAAAGAATTCCTAGCTGGTGCATTCACGTAAAAATCAGATCTTATTTTGACCTTGCTTCCATTCCTCCAAAGTGTCACCTGCACCGAGGAGCCTCTACCACCATATAGCTCGGAGTTTGGCCTCCCTGAGCTCCTCCAAGACTGTCTCCCCACCTCTCTTGCCCAACCATCACCAAACAGATGGTGTTGAGCTTTCCTTCCCATACCTTGCATGTAAGTTGCAATATAAGGAAAACTATAGGTTCATTAAATATATCTTCTCAAACAGCATAAGTTCCCGCCGATCCTTGCCAATATTCTGATCTAGCCCCTAAACTAGGGTGCTTCCCTCCTCTGGCCTCCACCTTAGGAAATATGGACCTCAGGTGTCACACACAGAAGGAGCAGTAAAGGGGATTCTTTATTGCTTCTAGAATTTAATGCCTCCCACTGCCTTCCACACTACTGAAAAGAAGTTGTGTGTCCCATTTGCTTATGTGCAATATTTCATTACCTATAGCGGAAACTGGAACCCTTGCTGCACAGTAGGGTTTTGGGCTTGGATTTGGGCTCTTCAGAAAGTCTGAAGAAAGCATGGTACTCCACACAGGTCTTCCAGAAAGCCTTGCAGGCATCTCGGCTGGCCATGGTGAACTCCAAGGTGTCCTTGCACAACACCTGTGTAAACCAATTTCCATCAAGCCAAACATCCTTCAAGACTATCAAAGAACTTTGATTCCTAATGTTTTCCAAACGATTGGTTCAGGGGCCCATGCAGCTTCTGATTTTCCACTTGGCTCCCTACAGTCTTCACACCTACTAAAACCAAACGATTGGCAACCTTCCGAGGAACAGACATGGCCAATGCTCAAAAACAGAGCCTTCTCTGAGAAGCCAATCTTGCTCTGGAGCCCCCACACCTCAAATGCGTTTTTACCCCCTCTTCTCTGCCAGGAACATTTTTATGAAGTTGTAAATTAGGTTAAAATGAACATCAAAGGACATCGTTTCAAGGTGACAAGAAGTTATAAATGACCAACAGGAAACAGGGGGAGGAGGCGATTTCCTTATAGATGGTAGGCTTTATAGGATGATTACATGTATAGCAGTCTTTCCAACATACCAGCTAGAAACACTTCGCCTTCCCTATGCTGCTTTGTTCTGTGATGCTCTGTGTTGCTCATTAAGCATGTGTTCATCTGCTCCAGGGGAGCTTAGCCTTTCAGACCTAAAGGTTAAGTTTTCCCCATACCCCAACCCACTTTATGACCCCCATTTGGTCATGTGTGCATGCAGCCCTGTTTTCTGCTGATTCCCCCCTTCCCTCATTCCTTTCCAGGTTCCCACATGCAGCCCTGGGACACTCCCTGAGTTTTACACTGGAGACAGTCTCCTGAACTGCTCAAATGAACACTGTTGTGTGAGGCTAAGATCCAGAGAATGAAGGCCATACTACAGCATCTTCTGAAAGTCAAAAAATTAGCTGATACACATTTTCATTTCCTTTAGAGTCACAAAGCATCCTTTCTAGCACCTTTGTCATACCCCGTACAATCCAGCCTTGATCCATAAGAGCTGCTTTTGCCTAATCTATACCCCACCCCACCCCATACCGCATCCTGCTTTGGCAAATAATAGGTGTTCAATTATTTGGCACGTACTCAGTGTTCAGTTGTTTTTGTTTAAGGAAAGGAGACAAAAATATAAAATGGGGCAGATAACAGCAATGAAACATGTCCGTAGTCCTAGATCTGGTCACTTGAATTTGACTTATCAAATCCCTGGGGGAAAAACATGGTTTTTAAGGAGACTTGGCTTTCATTTCCACCACCCCATTTTCCGATATAGTTTATTCATTCTGAACTGCCGATAGGATTTCTTGGTGTTTTGCCTTGAGTAAAAATATGACTAATGCTCCGGTTTATTTATGTAGAGGCAAAAAGGGAGTACCTCACCCCTCAGCTTTCACCACTCACATTTAGACCATTTGCTGAAACAACCAAGAAATCCCAAGTGAACAGAAAGTAAAAGAATTTATTAGAAACTACTTACCAAGATGTTGGCATGAAGTTTGATGAGAAAATGCTTTCTTTTAAAACTCAACTTGCGAATTTTAGCCCAGTTGAAAGTATTGATCTTTGTATTGCCCTGTAATGACATGCATGGCAGATTTCAAGGTGAATGTCAGCACAAGCTGGTTTGGAAGACAATGAGAACCTGGTAGAAAACTCACTTCATGCATGGGACCATCCCACCTCTTGCACAGGATGATCCTGTTGTACTAAGTAGGAGCTGTGGGCAAAGAAGTTATTCCAGGGGGACATAAGACTGTTCTGAAATGCAAGCAAGAAGGGGTTCACATGGGAAAGTTCTCCAGCCAGGATAGGGAGACCACGGGAGGAGGGGATGACTAGAGTCAGTTCTCTAACTGCACCCCCTTCCTATGTTTCCAGATTCAACTGCCACCGCATTTACTCGAAAACGTTCCAGAACTCCTCACTGCGGGCATCATCAAGTCTAAACACGTTTGGCTGGGGTGTCCTGCCTCAGCTGTATTGAACATCCAGCCTTCCATCCCGCTAATCCTAGAAAACACCCTTCCATCCAACTCTGTACCTTCCCTCCCAGAGGGCTCGTCATTCTCCTTACCCAGAATTGCCTTCCCTGTAGTCAAGCTGTCTCGCCAGTCGGCTAGCACCCCCTTCTAAAATATTCTGTATAACTATCCATTTCTAACTGCTCTGAACGCCTTGGGCTCTTCTGGACTGCTCAAACCATTTAGCTCTTTTGGGTGGGTGGTTGGTTGGTTGGCTGGTTGGTCAGTTGCTTGATGTTTGTTTGTTTAAATGGTCCAAAAATCAAAGGTATACAAAAAATATACACATCGAGAAGTCTCGCTCCCACCACCATCATTCCTATATCTGTCCCTCTGTACCCATCTATCCATTCTCTATGGATAACCACATTTATTAGTTTGTTATGTATGCTTGTTGTGCAGCTTCATGTGTGTAGGATAGATTAGCTTTGGATTACTTATTACTGATTACTGATATTGATCACTATTTCTCTGGTCTCTCTAAATTGTGAGAATCTTAATGACCTGAGCCACAGGTCATGCTTAATGTTAGTTTGTTGACCATGCCATCCTTTACCCTTCTCTGGGCCTTTGTCTTTGTGCCCTTTGTCTGGAATCCGCGCCCCGCCCCCAGCCCCTGCCAACCCTATCTCTTTGATCTGGACAACTTCCTCGTGTCTTGTCTTAAATTTTTTTAAGTTTATTTATTTACTTATTTTTAGTCATCTCTCCACCCAACATGAGGCTTGAACTCATGACCCCAAGATCAAGAGTCACAAGCTCTTCCAACTGAACCAGGCAGGTGCCCCCTTAGCTCAAATGTTAAACCCTTTTCACATGCGTTACCTTAGCACCCCATACTTCTTCGAAAACAAATACATGGCATTTGCTTAAAATTACTTGTTTCATTGTCCGTCTTCCCCCTATTAGAATGCAAGGTCCGTGGGGCGCCTGCGTGGCTCAGCCAGCTGAGCATCCGACTCTTGATTTTGGCTCAGGTCACGATCACAGGGTGCTGGGATTGAGCCCCATGTCGGGTTCTGCACTCAGCAGGGAGTCTGCTTGAGGATTCTCTCTTCTGCCCCTCCCCCTGCTTACATTTTCTCTCTCTCTCTCTCTCAAATAAATACAGCAATACATCTTTTAAGAAAAGAAAGACTTTGTCAGCATCCCTCCTGTTTACCTCTGCAGCTCTAGTATCCGGCACTGGCTAGCTATACAGTAACTATACCGACGGAAGGATGAATGAATCAAGGAATAGTTGCCGCCAGACTCTGTAAATATACTCAAGCCCATTGAATTGAAAAATTAAACCAGATGAATTATAGATTATGCAAATTAATCTCAATAAAGCTGGTTTTGAGTTGTTGTTTTTTTTAAAGAATAACACAATACCGAACACATACAAAGTACTCGGTACACAAGTATTCTTAGACTGCATTTGGGGTAGGACAAAATAGACTGGCTACTTTATTCCACACTGTCCACAGAAATGCTCGGGCTGGAAGAGCTCCCGACTAACATGACAGCCTTGCTCCCCTCCCCTTCCCCATTTTCTCCCACGCCATAGGAAACAAGGACTGATGGGGGGCAGTTAGAGTAGAATGGGTCAAATTCCTTCCTGGGGGAACACTTATTCCTGTGACCCCCTGGGTCTTTTGCCCACCTGGTGACTCTCATGCTGCAAAGTTTACAACCCGAAACATGAGAAGGCCAAGATAGTTCTAGCCGAGTCTGCACCTGACCTGTTTGTGACTTTCTTCGGAGCTCTCATTTGGTCTCTTTGTGTTGTTTCTGGTGGATCTGGACAAGGTGGGTGCACTTAGTGTCACAGCCAAAGCTTTTAGGATGCCAAAATCCATATTCATATTTAGGGTCTAAGAGTTCCAAAAGGCCTCTTGACTTTCTCCACCACGCCGGCCTGATCCAATGATCCTCAGAGTCAAATCAGTCCGTCAAAGACCACAAATGGAGGCAAAGCCCAGGCAGGCAAGAATTTGGACACGGGACACTCATAAGCATCCCCTCCCTTTCTGGCTGGTGGTAGGACTGAGGGGCAAGGTCACCCAAGTTTGAGCCAAGATAACCCCCAAAGCCGCAGGACTTGGAAGGAAATGGTTGTTACCCGTAACACCAGTACTCCCATGTGAGCGACAGCCAGGTGGATCTGCGTGCCTTCGCCGTCGCTGGCAGGGTGAGGCCTGATGCCGTACATATCCAGCTTCCTCGCTACATCCAGTAGCAGGATGTCAGATTCCGCAGGGCTCCTGCCACTGCAAAGGGAAAGAATTTATGAGCTTAATAAATGCAGCAAGAATGCCACCTCCTCCCTAAGGGATCCGGGAGGAGCTCAGTGTTTTCTTGAGCCCGGAGCTTCTCTGACTTAAGGACTTGCTTTTAAGAGCCTGACCCCAGCTGTCCCATTCCCTGCTGGTAGAAGCGGGTACTGGTTGAAGGACTCACACGTGCTTCTGATGAAAGTGCACAATCTTGCTCTCTAAACAGTCCTGGTTCGGTAAGTAGCGGGTTTGAGCCAGGTGTTTCTTGTCTGTTTCTTCATGAAAGTCTCCCAGTTCTGCTGCATGACGGAGAAGTGACATTTTTCACATTAGCATTGGGGGGTTTAGCAACGGAGCACTCAGCAGACCCTCCAACCTCCCCAAACAGCCTTTTCTTTGCAGCCAGTGCAGCCCTAGGCCCCCTACTCCGTGCTTTATATGTATTTATGTTTTAGGATAGGGGGGGAATTAACTTTTTTTCTTTTTTTCTTTTTCCTTTTTTTAAAGATTGTATTTACTTATTTACTTATTTACTTATTTATTTGACAGAGAGAGAGAGACAGACAGACAGATAAGCAGGGGTAATGGAAGAGGAAGAAGCAGGCTTCCCTCTGAGCTGGGAGCCCGACGCAGGGCTTGAGTCCCAGGACCCCGGGATCACAACCTGAGCTGAAGGCAGACACTTAACGACTGAGCCACCCAGGTGCCCCATAACTGGGTCTTTTTCAAATCAGAAGCAGTGGGTTGCCATGAAGTCTCAGTATAGTAAATCATAGGCACAGTGTATGTCTTAAAGGCTCCAGGATCACAGATGAATATTTCTTTGGTTCCTTCTTCCACACTCTGTTTCTGGTCTTTTTCTTCTCACCAGTGCCTATTATGGGTTGAACTGGGTGCCCCCACCCCCTGCCCACCAGGGAAGTGGAAGTCCTAAACCCCATAGCTCAGAACGTGACTATATTCAGAGATAGGATTTTAAAGAATAAAGAAAGGATTAAGTTAAAATGAGTCAGTAGGGTGGGCCCTAAGTGAGTTGGACCTGGTGTCCTTAGAAGAAGAGGAAATTTGACCCTGCAGAGAGACACCAGGAGCCCGGTACCTGGAGGAAAGGGCAGGTGAGGATGCGTCCAGACATTTCTGCCGTTTAAGCCACCTGGTTCCTGGTGTTTTATTATAGCAACCCTAGCAAACTCACATGGGTCCCTAATCTCACTCTACCCTGATTGTGCATTATCAGAAAAGGAGACTATGAATGCCAAGTACAAATGCATTACTGTGGGCGAAACGAGCAAAACCCCAGCTATCCAGAATGCCCAGTAAATGAATCATTCTGGAAATCATTCTGGCTTTCCCAAATCACTGGCAGCTTATCCCTGATCATAATTTACTCATCTCTAGATGTCTCTAGCTTATTGTTATAAACACCTGTCACAGCACAATGCCTACAAAGGTGATTGAGGTATACAAGATTATCTGCTCCTATAGTTAATGGCTTCAAAATCTTTCAATTTTTGAATTACTGGGTCTTCCTTATAATTTTTATGCCTTTTCCCTCTCTGTCAGATTGGTATGAATCACTTCTTGGTTACTGACTTCTCCCGAAAAGGTCTCCACACTTGGTCATAATTAGGATTCCTAACCAAGAACATAGATATCCAAAACAATTGGCATTTTATGAATTGTAAGAGTAAATACATTCTCCATGGAATCCTGTGACTAGAATAGATGGATATGGGACACTGATTTTGAGGGATGGAAACTTACTACCTCTTTTTTTTTTCTATTACATTTCTATAAAAGATTTTAATTTATTTATTTGACAGAGAGAAACACACAGCAAGAGAAGGAACACAAGCGGGGGGAGTGGGAGAGGGAGAGGCAGGCTTCCCACTGAGCAGGGAGCCTGATGCAGGGCTCCATCCCAGGACCCTGGGATCATGACCTGAGCCGAAAGCGGACGCTTAACAACTGAGCCACCCAGGCGCCCCTCTATTACATTTTAGACAGATGACATGTTCACCAACATGCTCATGACAGATGAGGTATGTATGTATATAAGTCGCATTATATAAAAATTCTCATAAACAAGTTCTTTTTAAAAAGGCCAAATCAATGGCTTTTTAATTTATTTTTTTTTGCCAAAATTGATAAATGTACAAATCTCACTAAAACACAATCAGGCCCATATGATTTCACTGATTCATTCTATCAAATATTCAAAAAAGATATGAAGACCAATTCTTCACAAACTCTCCCAAAAAATAGAAAAAATACTTACTAATTCATTCTATGAGGGCTGTATTACTCAGATACCCAAACCAGACAAAGTCATCATAAGAAAACTATGGATCAATATACCTCATGAATACAGAGGCAAAGATCCTCAACAAAATCCTAGTAAACATCTGATTCTTGATTTCAGCTCAGGTCATGATTTCAGGGTCATGGGATCAAGCCCAGTATCCAGCTCCATACTGGACACGGAGCCTGTTTAAGATTCTGTCTTTCCCTCTCCCTCTCTCTTCCTTCACCCACCCTCCTGCTCTCTTTCTTTCTCTTGCTCTTTCAAGAAAAATATAATAATAATAAATTTTTAAAAATCCAAGAAATACAGAGTAGAAAGGAACTTCTTCAAACTGATAAATGTTATCTATGAAAAACCTACAGCTAACATCATAATCATACTAAATGGTGAGAAACCGAATGCTTTCTCTTATGACCAGAAATAAGACAAAGACGTCTGTTCTTGCCACTTCTATCCACCATTGTACTGGTGGTTCTAGTCAATCCAATTAATAAGCAAGAGAAAATATCAATAATTTTCACTGAAAAGGAAGAGATAAAACTGTCTTTACTTGTAGTCAACATGGTCATGTGTGTGGAAAATTCTGGGGAATCCACAAAAAAATCCTAGAATATAGGAGTTCATCAAGTTAGCAAAATAGATCAATATACAAAAAGGACTTGCATGTGCATACACTAGCAATGAACAATCCAAAAATGAAACTAAAAAAGTTCCATTTCTGATAGCATCTAAAAAGTAAAGTGCTCAGGAATAAATTTAGTGAAAAGATGTATAAGGCTTGTATGCTGATGATTACAAAACATTTTTAAATTTTTAACAGATTGTATAGATGAAGAGACATTTCGGGTTCATGCATTATAAGACTCAATATAATTAAGGTGGTAATTCTACCAAAATTGATCTATAAATTCAATACAATCCCCACCATATTTTTAAATAGAAATTGATAGATGATATTAATTGATAGATTAATTGATAGAAATTGATAGATAATCTTAACATGGAAACACATAGGATGCAAAATAACCAGAATGATTTTGAAAAAGAAGAACAAAGTTGGAAGATATACACTTCCCTATTTCAAAACTCAATACAAAGCTACAATAAATAAGTGTAATAATGGCATAAGGACATATAGATCAATGGAATATTGTTAGGAATCCAGAAATAAATCCTTATATTAATGGTCAATTGGTTTTTTATAAAGACACCAAGACAATTTAATGGGGGAAATGATAGTCTTTTCAACAAATGGGGGAAAATGGACAACCACACACACACACAAAAAAAGAAGTTGGATCCCTACTTCACAACATACACCATACAAGCAGACCAAAAAAATAAAATAACTCAAAACATCATATAACTAGACCTAAGAGGTAAACCTGCAAAGGCTCTAGAAGAAAACAGAGGAAAATCTTTGTGACCTTAGGTTAGGCAAAGAGTTCTTAGGTACACTAAAAGCACGATCCACTAAAACATATTGAGAAAGGGGAATTCTGGCAAAATTAAAAACTGTTCCACTCCAAAAGCCAGGATTAAGGAACGGAAAGTCAGGCCACCAAGCTGGGGGGAAAATTTTTCAAATTACATATTTCACAAATGATTTTTAATCAGAATATATAAAAATCTGGGGCCCCTGGCTGGCTCAGTTGGAAGAGCATGCAACTCTTGATCTCAGGGTGATGAGTCTGGGCCCCACATAGAGATTATTTACAAAAATAAGTAAATAAACTTAAAAAAGAGTATATAAAAATCTCTCAAAATTCAATAAGAAGACAACAATCCATTTTAAAATGGGCAGAAGATCTGAAAGGCACTTTGCCAACAAAAAGGGACTGTTAATAAACAGATGAGAAGGTGCTCCACATTGTTACTCACTAGGAAAACGCAAAGTATAATTGCAGTGAGATAGCTCTTCATACCCACTAGAATGGCCACAACCAAATAAACACCACACACATACACACACACACACACACACACACACACACACACCAAAACCCAGATAATACCAACTATTGGTGAAGATGTGGGATGTTAGAAATGTGATACGTTTCTGGTTTTACTGTTAGAATTTGGAAAACAGTTTGGTAGTTTCTTACCATTTTTAACATTAATTTACCTTAAGATGAGGCAATTACCCTCCTGGGAATCTATTCAAAAGATATGAGAATGTGCCCAAACAAAGACTTGCACATGAATGTCCATAACATTATTCATATTAGCTAAGCTGGAAACAATCCAAATGTCCACAGCCAAGTACAGAGATGAACAATATGTGGTATGTCCATAAAATGGAATATTACTCAGCAAAAGAAAGGAAGAAAATAGCTGTGATTCATGGTAGAACATGCATGAATTTCAAAAATATTATGCTGAGTGAAAGAAAGCCACATAGATGCAGAAGACCACATATTCTATCATTCTGAGTGAAATGTCTAGAAAGGGCAAATCTATAGAAACAGAAAGTAAATTAGTGGTTACTGGGGCTGAGTGTGGGAACAAGGAGTCACTGCAGATGGGCAGGAAAGGGTCTCTCAGCGTGATGGGAGAGTTCTAAAACTGGACTGTGGCCATGGTTGCACAACTTTGTAAATTTATTAAAAACTGTTTAGTTGTAGCCTTTAAAAGGGTGAATTTTATGATAAGTAAATTATACTTCAATAGAGCTGTTTTTAAAAGTAAATTAGAGGGGGCGCCCAAGTGGCACAGTCAGTTGAGTGTCCAACTTTTGATTTTGGCCTAGGTCATGAACTCAGGGTCCTGAAATCAAGCTCCCCACTGAGTGGGGAGTCTGCTTCTCCTTCTTCCTCTGCCCCTCCCCCCGCTCATGCTCTCCTGCTCTCTAAATTATACACATACACACACACACACACACACACACACACACACCCCTACTGTTTATTAAGCACAAGACCCTGACCCTATGTTGACCCTTGGAAAACACAAGAACACATAAGACTGCTAGTTTTTCACTCCATGCAAGACTATGACAATCTAGGAAGGGACCTATGAAACTCACATGAGTAAACATCAGCAGTACAAGAAGGTAGCAAATGTTATGAGCATATTTACTGTTACCACGCTGGCCCAAAGTACCATCATCTCTCTCTACTGCTACAACCTCTTCTCTGGTCTCCCCACTTCCACCATTCCAGAATAAGGTTTTCATCCTGGCAGCCAACAAGTTCCTGTTAAAACCTAATTCCAATAATCTCATTCCTCTGCTTAACATGCATCAGTGGTTTCCCATCTCACGTAACGTTCTAGGTCTTTAGTAGGTTTCTAAGGCCCTCCATGATTACTTCCCCCCCTGCTCCAGCCAGCCACAAAGCCTGCTTAAATGTTTCTGAACACTCCTGGCACATTTTCACCTCAGGCCCTTTGCACAGGATGTTATCCCTGCCTGGAACAACCTTCCAGCAGATTTCTGTAAAGCTTGCCCTCTCACCTCCTCCAAATCTTTGTTCACCTGTCATGTTCACAGTGAAGCCTACCCTGACTACTTTGTTGAAAAATTGAGTACCCACTCCCTGGATTCCCCATCTTCCTCCCATATGTGATTTTTCCCTGATGTACTTATAACTTTCTAACATACATGCTATATTTCCTCATTTAGGTTGTCTGATTGTCCTCCACTGCCAAAAGGTGAGCTCCATGAGAGCAAGGCTTTGTGTTTGGCCAGCTCACTGCCCAGTTCCCTGTGCCTATAACAGCACCTGCCATGTGGTAGGCACTCTATAGGTTTTTGTTGAATGAATGACAAAGAAGTTACTAAGAGCATTCGTAGAAGGGATGTGTAAGAGAGACTTAGGCAGATGAGGTCAAGCATGTGGAGATTCTGGAGTGCCTAGGATGTAAATATCGGATGAATGACTAAATGAGCAAAAGAATGAGCCACCTGATGATGTTCTGCACACTGCCCTGGCGTCCAGTGACTTGCCCTGGGAGGAGTGGGACTCACTGAAACTTCAGATTTTTCCCTATGGAAAGAACTCGTATTGACAAAGTATTCTCTAGAAAAGCAAAAGTCCTCAGTGCTATGCCTCAGATGGCCACTAGGGAATGCCCAAATCCATTACGCTCAGCTATTAAAATTGAAATTGGGCTCCCCCGCAGCCATGAGAGGCTGTGGGGGAGCCCCAGTCATTAACAGGCTGATAATGAAAAAGGATAAGTCTTCCAACATTGTTTTGTCTATGCGCCTTACCCCGCACCCCACCCCACCAGCCGAGCATTCAAAGCCCATCCATATGACTTGTAGTTCCCTGTTACTTCCCCTAAACAGACCCTGTGCTTGAGCTGTACCTGAGCTGTGTCTCTGCCTATCACTACCTATGGGCTCCTTTAAGGTCCGGCACAAAAGCCACCTCCTCCAGAAGCCTTTCCTGATTACTATTGTTCTCAGGGCCCACTGCATTCCTGATACCCTGGGGCTGTGGTCACCTATCCCAGGCAGGCATCCCTGAGATAAACACTGAATTAGACAATGTCTCTCTCCAAGCACTTCATCCTGGTGCTCCCAGTGAAATCAGAAATCTACCAGCTCTGGCCTGTCAGAATGGTCAGGGACAGAGGTCAACACCGAACTTGTAAAACAAGCCAAAAAATGATGTTATGATCCCGCAAAAGTGGTAAAGAACAGCCTGTTCTTGGAAGGCCTCTCTAGAAAAGGGAGAGAGTCCACTGGCCATAGGAGATGAAACACTGTCTCCAGCTGCCTCGACCCCACTGTTAGGGGTGCAGGAGAAGACTGGCTTGCCCTGCTTCACCCCCTCCCAAGCACCACCCCTCCCCGCGGTTCCCCGGGTCTCCTCCCTGCCTTCATTATTCAGCCTAGTCCAGCTACTTGGCTGCCAGCAAATGGGGGACCCTAGTAGACCCCTGGGGCCTTTTTCCCTTTTAGCCTCTTTTACCTGCTGTACTCTGTGCTTGGTTCCCCAGACTCAGGATAAAGAGCAATGCAGAAATCCCATCAAACATGACGGTGTGCTACAGAAGCACGTACCAGAAATGTATCCCGGGGCAAGCAGAGGGAGTGGAGCTTGCCTGGCAAAATCCATGCCTGGACAGATGAGTCCAACCCAGCTCCTGGACAGCAAGCCCCAGGTGGGGGGGTGGTGAGGGGGGAGGTTACACCATGATGGAAGAAAACCTGCATTTACTTTTAATCTACATAACCACTCTATGAGAAGATCCTCTTGTCACTATTGTAAAGACTAGGAAACTGAGGCACAGACAGGTGAGGGGACTTCACCCAAGCCTACAACAGCTAGAACATAGCAGGGACCGGATCTGGAATCCAAAGCTGAGTGGCTATAATGACCAGCCTCTTTGTACTGGCCCATGCGGATTCCGGACACCTTATGCAGGCTTTCTCTGCTCTCTAAGTCCTAACACAGGATGGGCACAGGGAGGGGTGCTCCGCTCCCTTGCTCGGCTCTCGCCCCGAAGCCGCCGTTTGCTACTTACACTGTAGAATGTGAGATACCATCAACGCAGTACAGTTCTCACTGCACGGAAGCCTTCCTAGAGCCAAATCCTTCTTTATTTGAAGCGTAAAAAGATACCTGAAAAGAAGTTGGGGGAAAAATCTCTTGAGAAAGAAACAGGAACAAGAGAGAATCATTTCCTTTCTCCCCGATCCAAGATGTTTCAAGAAAGAAACGGCGCCCCCAAGACAGTGAGATGCCTTTTTGGGAGGGTGACTAAGGCAGAGGTCTGGTGCAGCATTTGGGCAGGCCTCCCTCGAAGCCGTTAGGAATGACCCCGGCTAAATCCTCCCGCCAGCTTGGGGGAGTTGGCCAATCATCCTCTCGTGGTTCCTGCCACAGAGCAAAGCCACAGACCCAGGCCGAGAGAAAGGGAGACTCAGCAATACAAAGCTGGCTCGGGCCACTCTGTTGAGCAAATGCTATCAAGCCCTATCTATCAAACAACTTGGTTGGTGGGGCAGGATTGATCAGACCCATTTTACAATTATAGAAGGGCAGAGGTTAAGGGATTTTAAGCGAGGTGATTTTGCCCAAAGATCGCAAAACTGCGGCCAGATGTCAGGTCACCCACTGAATTGAGGCCTCCTCCTATCCAAAAGATTGTGTTGCGGAAATCAAGGACGTGAGGCCGGGCTTCACCTGCACCACCTTCTCTGTATCCTCAGAGCCGGGCCCAGCACTTGCCACGGGGCAGGTAGGAAATGCCAGTGTTCTGAATGGAATGAAGTCACACTGCCCTTTCGCCCACCAAAGGCTCGTCAGGGACCCAGCAAGTGCGGGTAGGTATCCAGCATTCATGAGTATCTACTGTGGGCATTTCCCAATATAAGATGAGCCTTTCTAAATAACATTTTTATCTGGACTTTTTAATTTAAATCAATTAAGTCTTGAAGACAACGTGGTAAATCAAAATTAATTGCAGGTGATAGAAAAAACAGGCAAAATTAGTAGGTGATTATTCAATTTATAAATGCACCCATCATTATAATCCTTCAAATTATGAGCTCCCCTAATGGGCTAGAAATGACTCAATTAGAAAATTTATATTTGCAGACCACTCTCAGAAACTCACAGATTGGCCCCAAACAAGGCATCCTTGTGAAGTCAGCCATGGTTAAGTGTCTTCAACGGACCACCGAGGAAAAAATAAAGGAAGTCTAACCTTTGCCATTGCCTGCTTTCAAATATAGATGTGAATGAGAATAATAAGCCTCAATTGCTAAAGGGAAAGAGAATCTCATTTTGCTCCTAGCAAGCAAGAAAGGAAACTTCTTGTCATTTGACACGTTCCTCGCTATTAAGGGGCAGCTGCCTGCTACAAATACCAAATCCTCACTCTGAACAGCTGATGAATCATTTATCATCGCATTGATTTTCTCATTCTTTTTTTTTTTTGGCGGCGGGGGGAGAAAGTTTATCTCCATTAAAATTGGTCATAATTTGAGACTCAAATGGGTTAGCTAGTGCAAACCGATACAGATACCAAGATATCGGGTTATCTGGGAAAGTGGCCTACAAGTCACAAATGTGGGGCGAGGGGGCGAGCCAGTGACAGACTTGTGAAAGGTGACGTATGCAGAGACCCCTAAGAAAACAAGGGCCCCTGTGCAGAAGGGGCGATCTGTGTGGTGGGCGGGGGTGAGGGGAGTGGGTGCTGCGGAAGGCCCGGCCAAGTCGTTCTAGCTCCCAGAACTGTCTCCTCCTCTATAAACCAGGAGGGTTGGGCTAGATGATAACATGCATTCCTTGGAGGGGAAGATTCTAGAGTCTAGCAAGCACATTCAGGTTTGGAAGAGTGTTAGGCTGACAGTGCATTTTTGGAGAAGCAGGGTTACGTTGTAATAATGAAGGGCATTGTATGTAAGTATAAATATACTTTTAAAAAATGTTTTATACTGGTGACTTTTTAACTTTTTTATTTTTATGAGTATAAAATATTTTACCTATCTAAAATTATGAATAATGTATAATTATAAATGGTCATTAAAATTATATAAAACAATGAATAATTTATAATTATTAAAGAATTATAATAAAATTATCAATGATTCATATTATATATGATAAATAATTTATTTAAATCATTTTTTAGACTTTATTTTTTTACTTTTTCAATTTTTTATAAGTACACGTCATCATCACTCTCTACCTATGGGATACACGTGCATGTGCACGCGCGCACACACACCCACGCGGTTTTCAACATCTACGGAAATTAGCTGGTATCACACTTGTGCCATCAAGCTGCCCTCTGACCGGAACACAGATGCACTGAAGGTGAGTGCTCTTATTGTTGTAGCAATTAATGGCAGAACCCCTAAGTGGGCACCCAGGCCGTCTACCCTGCTAGAATGCCACCCTTCCTTCTCCCTGAAGACCCCACTCTTTGCAAGATTAACGCTTTGGTGACCAGCCAGGCCCACCTTCTCTCCAGCTCCTCACGATCTCCCAGAGAGTGAGAGCCAAGCTTTCCAAAGAAGGCTGGAAGCCCGTTCTCTGATAAATGGAGAATGATGATTCTTAAGTAACATCATGCAGCAGACACACAGGGAATTTACTCTACCTTGTAAGCTCTTCTCGAAGATGTCCGGGGTCCACTGGGAAAAATTTCACCATAAATTTGAAAACAACCTCCTTAGGATCTTAAAACACAATATCTCCATAAGTTTTATTTAAATGTCCATCACAAGTTACAGGTTTTTACACACACACACACACACACACACACACACACACACACGCTTCCCCCTGTCCTCTCTGCACCCCCGCCCCATCACTCCCTCCCTCAGACTTTTCTTTTAAATTTCAATCTTCCACTTTTCTAATATGGTGCTATCTCTGGATTGTGTCTTCATGTGGCTAGCAATCGGGAAAGTTCTCCTGCCCCTCTTTCTACCCTCTTTCCCTCTGAGTTTCTTTCTGTAAAGCTGGCGCCTCTTTCGGAGCCCTACTGGGTCCTCTAAGAAGTGGCCCATTTAAAAAGATATATACCACTTGCCACTTGGGCTTCTGCATTCCCGGCTGAGAGAAGAGCTCAGCTTTAGAAGCAGGTGATTATCATCTGGCATCAAGCATCTTATAAGGGCAACTAGAAGTGGACGGACTGCTGCTTCTTTGTTGCTTAAAATCTGCTTTAAGAAAACACATCAACTTGCCTTCACTCCTGCTCGGGTTTGAAAAGAAAAAAAAGAAACTCTTTGCATCAAAAGCAAACACATCCATACACCATTAGCACCATTCGTTCAGCAAATATTTGTCAAGTGCCTATTACAGGTCAGGCATTGTACTAAGCGGGCACAGGCACGGGGGATAGAAAGACAATTAAGCCCTCAGAAGAGGCAGCCTGGCGAACGGCAGACGGCAGACGGTTGAGAGCACTGAGCACCCAGCAAGCACGAGAGGGAGGACAGAGGGCTCCGGTTAGATCGAAATTGGAGATAAACAATCATAACACAAGGACATACTTACACCGAGAAATTCTTTCTTTCTTAATTTGAAATTCCAGTTTAGGTGGACATGTTTTCTTTTCTCCGAGAGCCCTACACCTGAAGTTAGTTTTGCCACAGACAGGAGAGTTAGGAATTCGAAGGGGTCAGTGGCAGAGGGAAAACTAGACCGGCAGGAGCGCTTCGTGGCTCATGCGAACAAGTTCGGACTCCATTCTAAGGGCAATAAGGAGCCACGGAAACCTGTTGAGCCAGAGCGTGATGTGGTCACCTTTGTATTTTCAGTAGTTCCCTTCAGAAGTAGGGTAGGTGACGGATCGGGAGAGTCAGTTAGGAAGCGGTTGGAGTAACGTGACAGATGATTACAATGCGGTGGGAGTAGACAGAACCAACACGGAGAGGGCAGGTGAGCCAGGGGACACCATACGACAGCGTTTCTCAAAAGTGTTCACTGAAACCCCCCTGCATCAGAAACACCTGTGGAATTTAACACGCAGGTTGCTGGCCCCCCCAACCCGGGAAAGGGGCCCGGGAATCTACTCCCCACTGGAATCTCAGAACCGCTGCACTAGGTGATGAAAAAAGGGGCGGGGTTGGGGGGGAGGTTTCGTACATTGCGGGCACTCGAATGTGAACTGAAACAAATGGACAATGTCTGTAACATGATAAAACTAAAACATCTTCAGGCCGAGGGTGAATGGCATTATAAGTAACAAGGTCAGATTGCCTAAAATGGGCCAGTTGGGAATTAAGATTATGTTGCATTAAGGAGCGCCTGGGTGGCTCAGTCAGTGAAGGGTCTGTCTTTGGCTCAGGTCATGATCTTGGGATCCTGGGATCGAGCCCCGTGTCAGTCCTCTTGTCCCTTTCCCTCTGCTTCTCCCCCTGCTCATTCTCTCTCTCTCTCTCAAATAAATAAAATCTATTCTAAAAAGAATATTCTGAATTAAAAGCAATCAAAACCCAGTCAATTCAGGAAACGCTCTTCTTACCGCCCAACCCCAACAGGCTAAACCTACATTGCAAAGGAGAGTCTGTACCAGGAAGAGAGCTATCACCTTAGATAACTACATTATAATATGAACTAGGTGTGGTAGACAGGGAGGGACCTCCCAAGGCCTGTTTGATCAAAGTCCTTCTGTCCCATTGTTTCTGAGTGGCCCAGCAAACATTTGTCTACCAAACATTTACTTTTCCTTTTTTCCTGCGAATTGCTTTCTTTGGCTTTGAAGTCCCAGACCCCTACTCCCTTCTTTGCTCAGGATGTCTGACTGTCTTGTAATTTCCACGTCTGTGTGGCCTCCCCCTATGTATAAGATTAAATTTGAATTTCCCCTGTTTATCTGTCTTGTGTCAATTTGATTCTTAGTCTGGCTAGAAGGACCTTGAAGGACAGAGGAAATTCTTCCTTCCCTGGGAACGTCAAGGATGCTCCAAGATCTGAGTCAATCCCCAGGATGCTGTCATTACCAGCATTCTTCCAATCTCCCCAAAGATCCAGCAGCATGATTTTTTCTTCATCTTGGACAACATTACAGTGATTTTTTAAATTGCTAAATTCACTGGACCTGTGAAGGATTAACATGATGCTTCGAAGCCCTTTTCTCCACTTATATTTGGTGAGGAATAGCATGGTGTCACTGAAAACTTTTCAAGTTGTAACTGGGAATTAGATGCCTTCGGTGATTTCCCATACTTACTTTTCACTTGCTTTGTAATTGGCTTCAGCAGTTCCAACCAGACCTGTGATAAGATTAATGAAAAAAAATTGGTAGAACATGGCATTGAGTACAGCTTTTTTTTTTTTGTAACAAACAGAAGTCAGCACAAAATAATCAAATACCAAACTATTTTGCCCCCTTCTAAAGAAAGTTAGAAACAGCCGTGTCAAAGAGATGGCGTATCTCCACCACACTCAATCAGCCCCCTTGTATTTTTCCAGTGACAGTGAACGTTGTTGATCTATAAAGTCTTTGTTGTTGACATTTGAATCACTGCTCCCCTGCCTAAGTAGGGTGACAAAGGTGTCACATCCATGGCTCATTAGTTACTACAAAGACTAATGAAGGCATTTGGCTCTGCATTTGAATCCTACATCCCCCAAATGCCAGCTTAATCGATCTAATGAGCCTTTCTGGGAAGGTGCCAGATAACAGATATGCCAAGGCAGGACACAGGAGGAAGAACACAGAGAAGGCGGGGAGCTGAGAGAGGGGAGAGAAGAATTCACTGAACCCTCACTGGTGAGTTAGGAGTCTTCATGGTGGAGGCTGAGGTCCAGCCTCTGGGAAATCAGAACAGATAAAGCAGAGGTTCCTGTTCTCAGGGTGACGAAAGAGGAATAGAGGGGAGAAGAGTTTGGGAAACTGAGGTGATTTTAGATAGGCAAGGAGGGAGGAGGGGAAACTTCATTATTAAATCCAGGCATTTTGCAGGGGTTCAAACGCTTTTTCATTTTTTCAATCTGATTTGAGCCCTACATACCTAGCTGCAAACTGCATTTTAGAGGCTACACACAAAAAACCCTGTAATGAAACCAACTTACATTATTTCCAGAATGGCTACAGAATTCTAATCCGAAATACTCCTTTTCAGCGAGATTTAGGTGGCTGCAACTCAGGTTAAACAGCGCCTTCCCGGATGACTTTTGCTAAACAAAACAGAGAGATAATAGCACAGTCTGTGTTCCTAACCTGAGATGTCAGGCCACGTGGAAGAAAGGGTGGGAGACACCCACCTCTCGGCAGACGCCGTTTCCTCTAAGCACCCTTCAGCCATCCTGCACCTCTCTAACCGCGATGTTTTACAGATAAATACATGCATCTACCTGTAGCTTGTTTTAGCCCTCCCGCCCCCCTCCAAAAAGCCCCAGACTCATGACAAACCCGCACTGAACTACGGTGAGATTGGCAGTGTTACCCTTTCAGTGGAATTCTTTAATCAATTCATCCCACGGGCAATTTGAATGATTTCCCCCAAATTGACAGACAGTTTAATCAAGAAGCAAATCTGACCTGCTTAAAAATCCTTCTGTGGCTCCCCTCAGTTTACAGTCTAGGCTCTCCATCGGGAGGCTGGGCCTTCTCTCCCTCCCATGGCCCTGCCCGCCCCTCCAGCCTCTCCTCTTGCCCCTCCCCCTTGCTGGCACTTTCCTTTCTAATAATCGCAGCCCGCTTGCTGTTCCCCACACCTGTCAAGTGGTTTCGCGCCTCATGCTTTTGCTCCTGTCATTCCTTCTCCACAGACCGCCCTTCCCACCTTTCTTTGGTTTGGCTTACTCCTGCTCAGCTTAAAGGCTGTCTTCCCTGGAGAACTTGCCCTGATCCTATCGGTGACAGGTTGAGACAAGGGCAACCTCTGTGCTCCCAAGCACCCTTGCTTGCCTCACACGTGGTACTCTCAACCCAGGATGTCTGTCTTCCCCACTGGACTGAGTCCCTTCAGAGAAGAGACCTTGCTTCATTTCTCCTGTGACTCACCACGTCTAACTCAGAGCCTGGCACCTAGTAGGGACTCTTGAATGTCTGTTGCTTGACGTGAAATTGACCCAGTGACTCATGGGAGCTCCTTGAGCAGACTTCACTTTGCAGCCTTTCCCACCACATCTCCCAGCAATTCATTCCCATAACGCCACACATCATGTTTCCCCCCCTAAAGCCCGCAAACACTGCGAGCACAGAAGAGCCCCTTGCCCAGGTTTCTCTGAGAACAGGAGCTTTGAAGATCTGACTGATCTCCAGCCACCATCAGAGCTGAACCTGAGGGTGGCTGTTGCAAGGAGGACTGTGATGGGCAAATTGGGCCCTGGCGGATGGGTGCAGAGGCACGCCGCTGAAAACCCCTAGTTAAAGCCAAGTCACGCAGTGCCCATGGTGCTGCTCAGGAAGCCGGGCAAAGGGAAATGTAGCTGGAAATCACCGACCCATAGAACTCACGGCAACCTTGAGAGGTCAAAGACTCTGGCCACCCTCCTCCGACCCCCTACCTTCTCCCTCCAGGCAGTGCCATGCTGAGCAGGGGCCCACATCTGGGATTTAATAGCTTCCAGGAAGGTGGCCTACCCCACCCTCTTCCCCCAGTGACCAAATCCTTCCTTCTCCCCTGGACCTCGCTCCGCTTGGTTTCACCGTCCAAAGCTGCACCGACTCAACAGGCACGTGGGTTAACCAGGGTCCTATTTTGAAATGCAAAGAGGCCGCCAGGGGCGACACCTACTGCATCCCCAGCACCTGGACAGAGCCCGGGGTGGGTTGGGGGGGTTGGATTTTTATGTTCGAGGTCACATTGGAGCTGTGGTCCTGGAAAGGGGGGTCAGCCCACACAGAGTTGGGGGTGGAACACAAGGGCGTGAAGGGCCTTGGGGGGCGGTGGAGGAGGGGGCGTCTGGGAGGGAGGAGGGAAGGGGGAGTTTTTGCCTATGTGGCAACCTTGCCTAGGGCAAATGCTGACACAGACCATTCCAGACAGATGAAATCGCTCCTATTTTTAAAGTCGTCCAGACAAGGAGCTGCCACGGGATTTTTATTATGAGAAAAAAAAGAAGAAGAATTTCTAAAGAGAGATACGACAGCAATACTTTTTCCGACACCAAGGAAACATTTCAGTCATGAGGACCAAATTCCGTCACAGACTCCAGTTTCTTTGCAAACAATTTAAGAAACTCAAGATTTTCCTTTCTCCTCCTCATTTTTGGATTCTTTTTTTTCCATCGAAATATTTAATCCTCCCCATCAAGGCTGCCGCATTCCATGTATTTGTATATTTAAAGGTTTCTGCTGTCACAAAGAATATACAGCCCTCTTGTAAGGATGCCAGTCAAGGCTTCCTTTTTGCTCCCTTCCATAAGATTCCCATACCATGTTTATAAGAATAATCTCCTGATTCTTCTGTCCCTGCACATGTTGCCAACTGGCTCTAAAGGCCTTTGGCAATAATGCATTTGGAGGTCAGGTGCTCACGTGGCTGGGGCTCTCCACCCCCACCTCAGGAGAGGCATTTCCCTTCAGCCCTCCATAATGTACTTCGAAATTGGCCAGCCTTGTGGAACGTGTTGCATAATAGGCAAGCTCTTGGTTCTGTCTCAGCGTGCAGACTTTAATATTGTTTAACCATTACAGTCCAATTCTGTGATTTTTACGTTGCGATTATTTTTCTCATAATTACTCTTTACACGCAACTTTTCAAGACTTTTTTTTTCCTTTCTGTACTTTTGATTCTCTTTTCTTTTTTTTTTTTAAAGATTTATTTATTTGACAGAGAAAGATCACAAGCAGGCAGAGAGGCAGGCAGAGAGAGAGGAGGAAGCAGGCACCCCGCTGAGCAGAGAGCCCGATGCGAGACTCGATCCCAGAACCCTGAGATCACAACCTGAGCCGAAGGCAGAGGCTTAACCCACTGAGCCACCCAGGCGCCCCTTGATTCTCTTTTCTATTGCAAGTTCTTGTTTAAGCTGACATTGTCAACATTCTAACCCAGTTCTTTCGTGGATCTAAAGTCTTTACTACCAGTCCTCCCACTCAAGGAATTGGAACTACAATCCTGAATCTTGTTTAACCTTCTCCCCTGATTGTAGTAGAACAGCGTTTGCCTTAAAAATAAAAAAATACACACACACACACACACACACACACACGACACAGAACATACAAAATATGTATTAATTGTATTATTGGTAAAGCTTCTAGTCAACAGTAGACTATTAGTAGTTAAGTTTTGGGGGGAGTCAAAAGTTATGCATGGATTTTCAACAGTGTAAGGGGTCAGCACCCCTAACTCTTGTGTTGTTCAAGTATCATATCTATAGATATAATTATTATTTATATATTTATTTATATATATTATATATATATAATTTAGAACTTTTTAGAACTTCTATCTATAATCTCCAATTTACAAACTGTGTTTTACTCATAACACTGATTTCTGGGGGCTCCAAACTCCTCTTCTCATGGGAACAACAAATATTCAAGGTGGTTTCCCGTATAAAACAATCTACCACAGCCTTTCGGCAGCTAGACCTGTCATATAACAATTTGTTAACTCAAATCCGAATTGTAATCCTGCTCTACCCACTTACTAACTGGATGAATTGGGGAAAATCTTTTAGCTCACAGATTGACCTGCCTTTTCCAGGTGCCTGAAAACAGAGGCCATGTGTTTGAATACCCAGCAGTACATACAATGCCCGGTAAAGAGCGGATGTTCAATAAATATTTGCTGAATAAATGGATGGAGCCAAACGATTAACTTGATTCCTATGCATTAGTAAGACAGCTCTCTCAGGAGGAAGAACAAATTAGTCACTATGTGACCTAGGGCAAATTACTGACTCTTTCTGAGCCTCAGTTTACTCATCTGTAAAATGGAGATAATAGTAGTATTATCCCATAGACTTGCGAGAATTAAACAAGATAATTCACATCAAAGCCTTTAGTACAGTGCCCAGCACATCATACGACTGAAGCAATGCACATATATAGATAAATGCATAGGAGAGTCTGGAAAGATACACAGCAAATGTTAATAGCATTCTCCCTGGAGGGAGGATAGATTAAAGGGGAATTTTAACTTTTTACTTTGTGAATATCTCGATATGTTTTTAACGAGCACTCAATGATGCACTCAGAATGTTGTACAGTCCCTCTTTACTTATTTTTAAGCTTTTATTTTTAAGTAATCTCTACACCCAACATGGGACTTGAACCCACAATCCTGAGATCTAGAGTCCCATGCTCCACTGACTGAGCCAGCCAGATATCCGTACATTCCCCCTTTAAAACACTGACAGGACCCTATGTCATGATAAAAGCCCATGACCAGTAGGCTACTCTAAAGGTTCTACACCCATCAGTTGAGTTCCATGCTCATTAATAATTGTTTTCTTGAAAGCATTTTTTATAATTCTACTTGTTAATGTAATCACACTGCATGGACCCAGAGAATCATTAAATTGTTTTTTAAAAGCAAGCATTGTTTCTATAAAAACTAAGTTCTTCACTTTGCAAAAACTCAATAGAGGGGAATCCCCAAAACTACGCTGTCAAATTAGCTTTAGATATGACAGCAGTAAAATACGGGGGAAGAAAACACTGGAAAGATTCTGTACTCAAAATGCTTTGCAAACATCCACATTCTTTCTCCACATTAAGTAAGCAAATGCTGGAAATCATAGAGGGTGCATTATGGGTGTGGTGTATGGAAGAAAGACAAAAGGAATCAGAAGTCCTTACTCAAAAAAGCTTTGACCCTATAGCAAAAGATTGGCAAATGAATAATGATGTATATGTTTTATGTCAAAATTAGAAGTTTAAGGGGCACCTGGCTGGCTCGATTGGCAGAGTATGAGACTCTTGATCTCAGGGTTGTGGGTTTAAGTCCCCTGTTGCGTGTGGAGATTACTTTAAAAAAAATAAAATCTTTAAAAAAATAGAAGTTTAAGGTGTCTGTGTGTGTGTACTTATGATTTTCTGCTTTAACAAATTTTATTGATTAACTGACCAACAACCACCTTTGACCACATTAGGTAAAGTAGAGTCTAATGTTTTTACATCTTGAATGTGTACTTTAAAAAAATATACACTGTCAGGGGTGCCTGGGTGGCTCAGTGGGTTAGGCCGCTGCCTTCGGCTCAGGTCATGATCTCAGGGTCCT